TGCAAATCTCTCGAGCTACAAAGCTCCGTGGCAAGGGCCAAATCACCTCCAAGTGACAAAAACAGGAGGAAAGCAGGCCAAAACACCCCAAACAACCCCCAAAATAGGCCAAAACCACCCCAAAATCACCTTGTCCTGCTTCTCCTATGGCACACAGGTCAGAGCCCCAAAACTGGACTAAACCACACCAAAACCACCCCAAAACCACCTTGTCCTGGTTCTCCTGTGGGATACAAGTTCAGAACCCCAAAACAGGCTCAAAAAAGGACAAAAACAACCAAAACCTATTTAAAACCACCCCCAAAACAACCCCAAACCACCCTAAAACCACCAAAAAAACACCTTGTCCTGCTTCTGTGGGATACAGGCTCAGAGCCCCAAAACAGACCCAAAACAGGCCAAAAAGAGGAAAAAAACACACCAAAACACCCAAAACCACCCCTAAAACAGCCCAAGCCAACCCCAAAACCACCTTGTCCTCCTTCTCCTGTGGGATACAGGCTCAGAGCCCCAAAACAGACCCAAAACAGACTCAAAACACCCCAAACCCCGCCCCCAAGGCCACCTTGTCCTGCTTCTACTATGGGACACAGGGTGAGAGCCCCAAAACAGACCCAAAATAGCCCCAAAACAGGCCAAAAACAGGCAAAACCAAGGCCAAAGCACCCAAAAAACACCCCAAAATCACTTTCTCCTGCTTCTCTTATGGGGTACAGGGTCAAAGCCCCCCAAAAAAGACCCAAAACAGGCCAAAAACAACCCAAAACACCCCAAAACCACCTTGTCCTGCTTCTTCTAGGGCATACAGGGTAAGAGGCCCAAAACAGACCCAAAACAGGCCAAAAACGGGCCAAAACACACAAAGCAAACCCCAAAACCCCAAAACCACCCCAAAACCACCTTGTCCTGCTTCTTCTAGGGCATACAGGGTAAGAGGCCCAAAACAGACCCAAAACAGGCCAAAAACGGGCCAAAACACCCAAAGCAAACCCCCAAACACCCCCAAACCACCCCAAAACCACCTTGTCTTGCTTCTCCAATGGGATACAGGGTCAGAGCCCCAAAACAGGACAAAAACAGGAGAAAAGCAGGCCAAAACACCCCAAACAACCCCCAAAATGGGCCAAAACCACCCCAAGGCCACCTTGTCCTGCTTCTCCTATGGCACACATGTCAGAGCCCCAAAACTGGACTAAACCACCCCAAAACCACACCAAAACCACCTTGTCCTGTTTCTCCTCTGGGACACAAGTTCTGAACCCCAAAACAGGCTCAAAAAAGGACAAAAACAACCAAAACCTATTTAAAACCACCCCCAAAACAACCCCAAACCACCCTAAAACCACCAAAAAAACACCTTGTCCTGCTTCTGTGGGATACAGGCTCAGAGCCCCAAAACAGACACAAAACAGGCCAAAAAGAGGAAAAAAACACACCAAAACACCCAAAACCACCCCTAAAACAGCCCAAGCCAACCCCAAAACCACCTTGTCCTGCTTCTCTTATGGGATACAGGGTCAGAGCCTCAAAACAGACCCAAAACAGGACAAAACCAGCAAAATCAGCCACAAAACACCACCAAACGACCCCCAAACCACCCCAAAACCAACTTGTGAGGCTTCTCCTCTGGCAAATGCACACAGAAGGAAACAAACTTCTTGACCATGTATTGTCTCCTGTAAACCCCATCTCAGTCTTGCTCTCTGTCTCTCTCTCTCTCTCACACACACACACACACACACACACACACACACACTTTTTCTTTCTATTGCAAATGTGACTCTCAGCATCATTACATTTTCCTTTGGGAAACCAAGAACAGTAACCTCAAAACTGTGTCCAGAGAACATGCCCATTTGATTGCTTCCCAGCCCAGCAACAGAAAATTAGGGTATTACCATCACTATTACTCATGCCTGCAGTTTAGAAAGACAAAGGTTAATAAAGCCATTTCATTCCCTGGAAACAAGTCTAGATTGAGCTGTCTTTCCAGTCTACAAGGGGGCCTCCAGTCTCTAGGGGGCCTCCAAGGATGCTGGAGGGGGACTCTTCACTAGGGACTGGAGTGACAGGACAAGGGGTAACGGCTTAAAACTTAAACAGGGGAAGTTGAGATTGGACAGAAGGAAGAAGTTCCTTACTTTTACACAGATGATCCAACACGTGCAAATCTCTCGAGCTTCAAAGCTCCGTGGCAAGGGCCAAACCACCTCCCTTTTCACTCACTGAGACTGCAACTGAATTGGTGGTGATGAAGGTACCTGGAGTAAGAAAAACAGTCCGGTTTCAAACCAAAGATACTCATTTTGCTTTGCACCTCGGTGGCTTTGCACAAGATGGGCCAGCCCACGTTCTCTAGAGCACCAGGAGCCACACGCAATTTCAGACAGCGATCTCCAGGGGGAACCAAACCTCTAGCAAGTGGGAATTGCAGGGCAGTACACAGAGAGGTGTGTGTCTCCTGCCTCCCCAGTTGCTCCTTCCACTGCTTCCCAGCCAGTCTGACACAGGACTCAGCTATAGGGAAGGTGGCACCTCCTCAGTCTCCCAGATGTGGAGCCCACCCAGCCAGCTCACATCTGACCATCCCACACCCAAGGGCTCCAGCAGCTCTTGGAAGAGGAGGAGTCCAGGCAGGAAGAGGGAGCCACCTGCTCCCTTTCAAACCCATCCTCCACCGGCTTGCAAATTAACACAAATTAACACCAACTGTGGCCATGACGAAGGAAACCACAGATTTCTTGTGGATCTGAGCAAAATTTCAGAAATAAAGGAGCCCCAGAAGAAAAAAGAAAGAGAAAAACCATCCAACCAACCAAAAAACCAAAACAACACGAACCAAGAGACTCAGAGGTTCAAGGGCAAAAGAGTTCCTCGTAAGCACTTGAAAAGGAAGTAGGAGAGTAGACCATTTAGGGACAGAGGTTATTACCTTCCCCACTCATCTTGAACAAAACTCTGGCTCATGCTTTCAGGGAGGCTGTTCAGGAAGGTGTTTTCTAATGACCAGTAACACAACATGGTCCAAGCTGTTTCCATCTTCTACTTCCTTTCACTCTGCTGAATTTTTAGGCAGGATTTCATTGCTTTCTATAACACGGCAGAACTTCCCTCAAAGGCAGCGCTATAAAGTACCTGTCATTTGTTGGGTTTAAAAGCTCGTTTCTTGAGACGTGATTTATCAGCAAGATGCTTCAGCAGTAAAATATTAACCATGGAATCACAGAGTGGTTTGGGTTGAAGGGACCTCGCCCTGGCCACGCCCTCCACGGGGGCTACAAAGGGGCGGGGTCAGCACAGGCCACACCCTCACCCCCCAGCTTGTCCCCCTCACTTCACCGCAGGGTGGGCGGGGTTTCTCGGGTCACGCCCCTTGCGCTGACCACGCCCCTTGCGCTGACCTCGCCCCCTGCAGCTGTTCCAGCTCCCCCCGCAGCTCTGCCGCCCGCAACAGCGCTCCTTGTGGGGGCTGAGGCACAAACACCCCTGAGCAACGGCCCCATTGCCCCTCCCACCTATATGTCCCCTTCTTCCATTGCTCCTCCCCCCTTTATGTCCCCTCCTTCCATTGCCCTTCCCCCTTTTATGTCCCCTCCTTTCATTGCCCTTGCCACTTTATGGCCCTCCCCCCCTTTATGACCCCTGCCCCCTCTATGGCCCCTCCTTCCAATTCCCCTCCGCCTCTATGGCCCCTCCTTCCAATTCCCCTCCCCCTTTATGGCCCCTCCCCCACCTCACTCTCTGCCATTCCTAGGGCACGTCTGATTGGCTGCAGTGGGCTGTGGGCGGGGCTAGAGGGAGAATGGAGGGGTCAGCACAGCCCTTCCCCCCCCTCCCCCACCACCCTCCCCCGCCCAATTCACTCACCTTGGGGGGAGGGGCACCCTCTCCTTTCCCAGCATGCTCAGCGCTTCCTGCAGCCGCTGCCCTTCCCCCTGCAGCCCTGGGGGGAGCCGCACAGCTCCTCGGGCCTGAAAGGGGCGTGGCCAAAGCTCTGAGGCCTCGCCCACTCACCATTAAGCCCCGCCCCACTTTCCTCCCCCTCTTTGCTCACCTGGGCCTGCAGGGGGCACAGCTGCGCCCGGAGCTTCTCATTGGATGGGGCCAGAGCCCGGAGCTGGATCCAGCGGCGGGACTGGAAGGGATGGAGGGGGGACACAAGGAAACGAGGGACCCCAAAGCCATGGGAGGGACCCAAATACCCCCCAAGACCCCCAAACACCTTAAATATCGCCCCATATTTCTCCCCAAAACCTCTCCCTTCACCCCAAACCAATCCAGAACCCCCAGGTCCCCCTCCCAGCAATGCTGAATCCCCAAAATCCCCCCTAAAGCCCCAAACTCCTCCATATCATCCCCTATAGACCCAAAATCCCCCTCCAGGACCCCCAGATATCCCGAATCCCTCACAAAAAGTGGTGCTGGGACCCTTTAGGGACCCCAACCCCTCCCCATAACCATCAAATTCCACCCCCCAGACCCCCCCCAAGCCCATCAGGACCCCCCCCAAATCCCCACATTCCCCTGTTGGCACCCACCAGCCGCTGCTTCCCCTCCTGCAGCTGCCTCCTCAGTGGCCCCAGGGCAGCTTCTGGGGAGTCCATGGAGCTGCCCCGTAGCTCCTGGACCTGCTGGATCAGGGCCTCCCAAGCCCCTGAGAGCCCTGCCGTTAGTCCCACCTTTGGCCCCGGCTACCTGCAAGCGCAGAGCATCATGGGAATGCTGCCCCCCACCCCCATTGGGATACCCATGGGGAAGCCCCGCCCCCTCCTCGCTTACGGGTGGGCGGAGCTTATCTGGGCCCGCTCCCTCCGCAGCCGCAGCCCCTCCTGCGCCGCCTCCGCCCCCAGAGCGGGAAGCTCCGCCCCCCGGCGACGCTCCGCCCCCTGGCCGTTAAGCTCCGCCCCCAGTGCCTCTTCTACAAGGAAACAAAGGGGGCAGAGCCTCAGGTCAGGTGACCGGTAGCCCCGCCTCTTTACCCCCCATCCCACCCCCCAATCAACTCACCCAGCTCCAGCACCACTGCCCCGGCCTCGCCCACGGCCCCGCCCATCACTTTAAGCTCCGCCCTCAGCTGCTCCAAGGCCTCATGCACTTCCATATAAGGCGTGCTTGACCCCGCCCCTCGCTGGGGAGAGACACCAAAGGTCACCTGAGGACACCACCCCCCCAATCCTTAAGCCCCATTTTTTTCTCCCTCCACCACCCCTCAAATTTGCACCCCCCCCCAAATCTTGCCCCCCCCCATCCCTCTGGGACCCCTCAAAACCCCATACAGCCCCCCAAAAACCCTTCTTCCCCCCAAACCTGAATCTCCTCGAGGTGCCGGTACCTGAGCCCCGAGTTAAGGAGGAAACGCGGGTTAAAGGAGGAGTTGGGGGGGGTCGGTGGGGGTGTCATGGGAGGGAATTGGGGGTTCCTGGGGATCCCAATGGGATTTGGAGTTGTCCTAAAGGAATTTGGGGCTCCTGTGCATGGATTTGGGAGGAGAAAAGAGGTTGGGGGGGTCACAGGGGGAATTGGGGGGTGCTGGGGTGGGTCTTGGGATCCCAATGCAATTTTGGAGGGGTTTTGGAGGCTCTCCAAGGAGCTTCGGGGTCCCGAGAGGGGGCAGCTTTGGGTCCCCCCCCTTTTTTGGGTGCAGCGGATACCACAGCAGGTTCCCTTTGGTCTTCTTCACATTCCTATAGGAACACCCCCCCCCCCCCCCGCCATGTATTTTAGGGACCGATCCGAGGTTTGGGGTCCCGCCAGATGTTGCAGTTCCTCCCCCCCAGATGTTGGGGTGCCCCCCTCACCGCGGGTGCAGCACGTGGCCCATGATGTACTCCCGGATGGGGGCACAGGGCCCCGTGCACAGCCTGGAGGTGGGGGGGAGACAAAGAGAGGGGGTCAGGAGCACCCCAACCCCCCCAGGCCCCCAAAAGCCCCCACTGGGGGGTCCCGCGGGCTCCAACCTGCGCAGCTCGGGATCGGAGGGGAGCTCCAGCTCCGCCATGATGGCCGAAATTGGCGCGCTGGGAGCGCTGCGCGGCACGACGGGAGTTGTAGTCCAAGCCGGGCGCCGCCTTAGTGGTGCTGTAGGGGTGTCGCACTGCATCATGGGAGTTGTAGTCCAGGCTGGGCGACACCCTCGTGGTGCTCTATGCGTGCCGCGCGGCATGATGGGAGTCGTAGTACCGCCTGGCTTCTGTATAATGGTGTTCTATGGGAGCTGCAGGGTATGATGGGTGTTGTAGTCATAACTGGGCGCCGCCATAGCAGGGCTCAATGGGTGCCGCGCTGCATGATGGGAGTAGTAGTCCCGGCTGGGCGCCCCCGTAAAGGGGCTCTATGGGTGCCACATTGCATGATCAGGGTTGTAGTCCCTGTAGTCTATGGGGTCTCTATGGGGTCTCTATGGAGGCTCTATGGGGTCTCTATGGGGTCTCTATGGGGCATCTCTATGGTTCACTTTGGGTCGCTTTCAGGATCTCTGCGGTGTCTATGGATCTCTATGGGTCTCTATGAGTCTCTATGTGGTCTGTATGAGTCTCTGTGGGCTGTGGATCTATATGGTCTCTATGGGTCTCTCTGTTTGGTCTCTACGGGTCTCTCTATGGGGTCTCTATGGGTTCCTGCAGGGTCTGACCATGGAGGGGGGTTCTCTTCACGAGTCCCTTGGAGGGGGAAGCAGCAGCAGCTCCAGTACCAGGATGCAGGGGGCAGAGCTCGAGACCCTGAGACCCCCCTTTTACCCCCATTGCCCCCGTTACCCCAAATTGCTCCCATTGCCCCATTACCGCCATTGCCCCCATATAAAGCCATGGTGGGAGTCAGCAGTGGGTGTGAACCTGTCCCTGCCCCATAGGGTTCTATAGGGGTCCATAGGGGTCCCATCGCCCCCCATCTCCCTCCTTTCCCCCCACCCCAGCCTACGCGTGCCCTGTTCCTGTCGCCCCGCCCACTTCCACGGCAGCCAATCAGCGCCTGGCCCCGCGCACTGCGCCGTGGAGCCAATCAGAGCACAGGGTGGGAGAGTAACCCCTCCGCCCCCCTCAGCTGACTCCGCCCCCTGTAACGGCCGCAGGCCCTTGAACAAGACCGGTCCCAACCCCGATCCCCCGATCCCTGAGGGACCCCACTCGTTACTGGTCTCCAGCCGGACACTGAGCCATTGACCACAACTCTCTGTGTGTGGCCATCCAGCCAGTTCTTTATCCACCGAGTGCTCCATCCATCAAATTGATGTCTCTCCAATTTAGAGACAAGGATGTCGTGTGGGACGGTGTCAAACGCTTTGCACAAGTCCAGGTAGATGCCATCAACTGCTCTGCCCCTGTCCATCAGTTCTGTAGCCCCATCATAGAAGGCCACCAAATTGGTCAGGCAGGATTTCCCCTCAGTGAAGCCCTGCTGGCTGTCACCAAGCACCTTGTTGATTTTCATGCGCCTTAGCATGCCTGCCAGGAGAACTGCTCCAAGATTTTGCCAGGCACAGAGGTGAGACTGACTGCTCTGTCATTCCCCAGGTCATCCATTTTCCCCTTTGTCGTGGTTTAAACCCAGAAAATGGGGGTTATATTTCCCTTTTTCCAGTCGTCAGGAGCTTCACCTGACTGCCATGTTTTTTCAAATATGAAGGCCAGCAGCTTCGCAACTTCATTCGCCCGCTCCTTCAGGACCTGTGCATGGATTTCATTAGGCCCCATGGACTTGTGCATGTTCAGGTTTTTAAGATGGTCTCGAGCCAGCTCCTCTCCTACAGTGGGCCCAAGGTCTTCATTCTCACAGTCCCTGCATCTGCCTTCCAAGACTTGTGTGGTGTGGTCAGAGCCTTTGCCAGTGAAGACCGAGGCAAAGAAGTCATTCAGAACCTCAGCCTTCTCCAAATCCTGTGTAGCCAGTTCTCCCGAGAGCTTCCGGAAGGGGGCTATGTTCTCCCTAGTCTGTTTTTTATTTGCTACATACCTGAAGAATCCCTTCCTGTTATCCTTAACATCCCGAGCCTATCTGAATTCTAACTGGGTCTCAGCTTTCCTAACCTGGTCCCTAGCTTCCCGGAGAAATTCTTCCTCAGCTCCATCTAAACCTGCCCTGGTGCAGCTTGAGGCCATTTCCTCTTGTCCCATCCCTTGTTCCTTGGGAGCAGAGCCCAGCCCCTCCTGGCTCCATCCTCCTCTCAGGCAGTTGTAGGCAGCGATCAGGTCCCCCTCAGGTTCCTCAGCCATTCCCCATCACATCTGTGCTCCAGGCCCTTCACCAGCTCCATTGCCCTTCTCTGGCCCCTCTCCAGCACCTCAATGTCTCTCTTGTAGTGAGGGGCCCAGAGGTGAACCCAGGATTCGAGGTGCGGCCTCAGCAGTGCTCAGTGCAGGGGCACCACCACTGCCCCGGCCCTGCTGCCGCACTGGTGCTGATCCAGGCCAGGATGCTGGGAGCTTCCTGGCTGCCTGGGCACAAGCTGCTCATGTTCAGCTCCATCAATCAGCACCCCCAGCTCTTTTCCCATGAGCAGTTTTCAGCCCCTCTTCCCCAAACCTGGAGCGTTGCAGGGGGTTGTTGTGGCCCAAGCGCAGGACCCGGCACTTTGCCTTCTTGACCCTCAACACATTGGCCACAGCCCATGGATCCAGCCTGTCCAGATCCCTCTGCAGAGCTTCCTACCCTCCATCCCCCACCACACCTCCTTGGTCTTTTGGTGGGACATCCCAAATTAGGCAACCCCCACTCTGGGGCTGGCCCCCCCAACTCCCTGATACCAAAGACGGGGGAGCTGGGCTGCCCCATGGGGTGTGGTTGGGGGGCAACGAGGAGCAATTTGGGCCTGGGTGGCATTGGAGGGGGGGAGCAGCTTTTCTGGGGTACCCCAGTTGGGGGCGGGTGTTTGGTGGGGCCCCTCCAGGTTTTTGGGTTCCTGGGTTCATCGGGGGGGGGGCGGGGGGATGGAAGGGTGTGGGTGACTTTTGTGCTGCCCCAGGACCCCACTTGGGGGTCCTGCCTGCTTTTGTGCTGCTTCAGGGAGATTTGGGGTTACCCTAGGATTTAGGGGCAGCACGATTGCTTTGGGTGCTTCCAGGGCCCTTTGGGGTGCAGTGTGGTTTTGGTTTGCCCCTTTATTGGGGTGACCCTTTTGGGGATCCACCCCCTGTGGCCCACCTAATTCACTACTGAACCGAAAGCAATGTTGGGGTCCCCCCAGTGTGTTCGGGGTTCCAGAGCATCTTGATGGATCCCCAGGGCAGGTGCTGGGGGAACACCACTTTTCGGAACACCCCTTTTTTAGCAAGTCTGTGCCACTGTGCTGAGCCGGGGCGGCTTTGGAGCTGTGGGCTTTGGGTTTGGGGGGATTTGGGGGGATGCAGGGAGGATTTTGGGATTCAGGCTGGTCCACAAAACTCTTTGGGGTGGCTCATTTATTTGGGGGACTCCCTGTCTACCGAGACTGGGGTGTCCATCAATCCCAGGGCAGCCGAATCTCATTGGATGCCCTAGGGAGCCCCATTGACACAAGCGGGAGGAATTTGGGTGTTCAGAGCAATTTGAGGGTTCAAGGAACATTTTGAGGTTCAGGGGGGGATCCCCAAAATGTGCTGTAGGAGGCACATTATATTGGGAGATCTCCCATGTACCTGGGTCCCAGGGCCCCCTCGGTCGCTTTTGGGTGAGCAACATTCCCCCAGCATGGAGATGTGTTGAGGGGAAGAGTTTGGGGGTTCAAAGGGGATTTCGGCATTGGGGGAGATCCCCAAAGCTCCCTGGGGTGGTGCAGGCATTTGGGGAACAGCCAGTGTCCCAAAACCAGGGGTTACATTTGACCCAGGGTACCCTGACTCTTCAGTGCCCCTGTTGGCCCATGGCAGTAAATGGAAGGGATTTGGGGTTCAGAAGGGAACTGGAGGTTTAGGGGGATTTGGAGGTTCATGGGAATGTGCCCAAGCTCTGCAGGGGACAAATGGAGGCCTCAAACAGGGGCTACAGCCACCAGAGACCACCCCACAGATCACTGGGGCTTTGGGATGGCGGCAGCATCGTGCCCATGGCCGCTGGGCACCCAGGAGTGCTCCAGGAGTCGCTGCAGGGGGACCAGCCTCTGCCCAGCCGGCTCGGGGAGGTCCCTCACGGGCTGCTCTTCCTCAGTGCCTTTGGTCCGGAGGTGGAGCATGCGAGGGGTCACAGCTCAACGTGGGCCATGGAACAGGGCGTCACGGCCACCTCCGAGGAGTGGAGAGGGACCGACATTGGCACAGCAGAGAATCATGGAATCCCAGAGTGGGCTGGAAGGGACCTTAAAGCTCACCCAGCTCCAACCCCCAAAGGCACGGGCAGGGACACCTTCCACTAGAGCAGCTTGCTCCACGGCCCTGTGTCTCTGTGCACCCCCAGGGCATCCTGGGGATACCCCTAGAGAATCCCAGAGAATGCCTGCAGCACCTCCAGAGCACCCCATGGACCCAGTCAGAGCTCATGCATCACAATGACCTTGGGGACATGGAGACCACAGGGGTGGCTGATTCTGGAACTCCCCATGTTCAGGTGTGTGAGGTCACAGAACCCCACGGAACCCTTCAGAGGAGGCACCGGGAGACGACAGCTGCCCCACGGAACACAAGCTACCGGTGGAGGAGGCAAGAGCAGCTCCTCTGGTGGTTCCCGTCTTGGTGTCTCGGAGCCGGTGCCGCCTGTGGAC